TATGCAAATATTGTTTGTCAAGGTTTATGACTGATAAAACTATTTTTGGTATTTTCAAGGATACTGATATATTGGCAGTGTAAATTACATTTGTATTCAGGCATCAGGTGAACAAGGGGCAACAGAGGAATGAATGACTAAATTTAAATAGGCTGTAACAACACTTCGAATGTTAATTCCACTGCATTTCTGCCATTAATGTAATGGAGTCAGTAATTACATATCTGTGAACATTTATCAGGCACATTTTTAGAGGAGTTAACTATTCCTATTCTTACAACGTACTGCTGAAACACGTTTATTAGTACAGTTAGTTTCTCTATACTATTATTCGTAGTCTAACTAAAAACAAATTGGAATTAAAGCTACGTCCATCAGATTGAGAGACTTAAGAGATACTTGACATACCTTATCAGTGCAAGTTTGGGGTTTTTGGGTTTTTGCCTTCCTTTTTTTTTTTTTTTTTTTTTTTTTACAATGAGCGTTGTCCTGAAATAATTACCTACAAAGGTAACGTTTCTGGGGGATTTGGTGTACCTAAGGGAACAAAGCAGTCTTCATCGAGGCTGGTTATTCAGTTGACGTTAGCTGGTCTTTGGTAAGATACACACAATGGAAACATGGAAGTCAAGCCACCTCATTTTTTTTTTTTTATTTGCAACATCATAATTTAAGAAATAGTCAACAAAATCTGTAGTTAATTTATCTCCAGTAGCAAATATAGTATCAAATAATTAATTAGAAGCTCCGTGCTTTATTTGTTTCACTACAGAAACTGTGAAATTTGAGCTACTGGACTGAATTAGAATTTTTCCTCAGGAAAGCGGAGTGGTTTGGTAATAACCAATGCCTCAGCCTTACTAGTGGTCAGCAGTAGATTGAGTCCTTTCCTAATTTTTTTGAGGACTTTTCCTACTACTGGTATCTCACCTTACAGATCTAGACCCTAACTTTCGAGAGCTGAGGTTTTCCGTGTTCACATGTCTAGTGGTATTCAGGAGGCACCCTCTTACACCAGAAAGAGCTGATGAAACCTCTTCTGAAACCTGAAAGAAGCAAATTGGTAGAGCCAGTGTGTTTCAAAAGAAAGGAGGATAGTTTGGACACTGAAGCATTGAATAGTATCATTAGGATTTTGTTCTTTGCTTTTAATAGCCCTTTATTCCTTAAGTTACCTGTGTGATGTTGTTCTGACTGAAGGCTATGTAAATGAAAGGAGGTCTAAAGAAGAAACTTAATTCAAAATACATTTTCAGTTGGAAATACATTTATACGATAAAGACAATCTGATAAAAGTTTTGTGAGAACCAAGGAGAAACTTCCCTTTGCCATTCTACAGCTATTTTGCTATGATGTATATTTCCCAGATCAACAAATCTGAGTCAACAAGTATTTAAACCTTAAATATTTTTTTGTTTTGTTTTAAAAATAAGAGGTTTGTCTTGAAAATGTCAGCGGCATCCATTGGACAGACAGAGCAAGCAGCATTTAGGAAAATCTGGATGGGTTTCTGTTTTGATTTGTTTTTTTTTCTTTTTCTTTTTTTATTTCTCCCAGAGAGATACGGTTTTATTTGGGCCAAAAAAAAAAAAAACCAAATTCAGAAAATCTGGCCAAGGAAGATTAGCAGTCAAGTGAGGCAAAATGTGTGTATACAGGGTGGTGGTTGTTGTTTATGCTTTGTCTTGTAGGGACTGTGTCTTGGGAGAGTGAATAAATAAAGCTATGTTTTGAGTAGCTAATCTGCTAGTCACAGAGTGCGAAAGGGAAGGCGTGTAGATGCCAAGCTCTGTTGGGTTAAGAAGCAGAGAGGAGATACGGGGGATCACTGGGAAGCAATCCCTAGTAGGGAATTGCTTCAGGTGCAGATGCCAGAAGCTGGGCCTGCCAGCATCTTCTGTTTCTGAGCTTGTCACAGTTCGCCTATGTTTTTGACGGGTAGCATCGCTGTTTCATCACATCACTGGAAACTGAGATCTATAATAGATG